CGCGGCCCGCAGAAGCATCTGCGACCGTGCCGCCCACAACGCCTTCTCCTCCAGGCTGAGATTGCTGACCGCGCCCGCCTGAAGTTGATCCATCTCGAACGGAAGCCGATGGGGAAACCTCAGAGACTGCTGTTCCGCCAGCATCGACTCCATCGTCTCCCTGAAAGGGAAGCTGCTCGATTACAAGCGTATTCGCTCTCCGGTCGTTGATCGACCAGCGCGCCGCGCCGCTCCACAGATTCGCAACATTTACCTCTCGAAGTCCGTGAGACGAGACGAGTCCCGGAACCCTTTGGCAAACGGATTGCTGTCGATCTTCAGCTTGGTGATCTGGAACAGAGAGAGAGAGAACACGGGTGGAGGCCAATTCCTCGATCTTGTTATCTCTGGCTTCTGGCAGGCAGAGGAGAGTTACGTCAGCGAACGGCAGGGACGCGTGGCGGCGGCAAACGGCCGGCCGTTTCGAAACGGTTCGTTCCATCGATCGGGAGTGAACGGCTCGTAAAATTAGAAGAAGCGGGGAAAACGATGCGGCGTCGCGGCGTTAGGGAGGGGAGACACTTGGCCGCGACAACAACCCCCGAGAGCGGTCGGCCGTTTCGCGTTACTCGTCGCCGGGCCACCCGCGACGCGGCGGATGCACAGGTGGCTCCAGTCAAAGTCTACGCGTCGAATTAGCTCGGGGTGACGAGATCATCCTTTCCGTCTCTCGCTTCCGTAAACCCCCGTTTAAAAGCGGAGAAGACTTCTTCTCCGACGAGATCCGGGATCGGGAAATCCGGGGAAACGAATCGGGTGACGGTTCGACGTTTTTCGGCCCGATCAACAGCTCCGACGACGACGTCAAGGTTTATTTGTTCGGCAAAAGGAGCCGTTCGCTCGTTCGTTTCTCTTGCGAGCGAACGGTGGCTTCCCGTCTTTTAGAAGGGAAAGCCGAGATGGAGAGGTTAGGAGAGAGAGACAGACAGAGAAAGATGGTGGGGGAGAGAGAGCGAGTGTCGAGTGGGTGGTCCAATTACCCTACGGTTTCGCGCTCACGAGCAGCACGTGCAGCCTGGTAATAAGACTCTTTCGTTCAAAGCCGAGGCTAAGCCGCGCTAAGCCCAGAGCTGCCTCGGTTTTAGTTACGATTCCGCTGACATCATTAGCCAAACATCTGGCCCACCTCC